TGGCCTCTACGACTGCATATTAATTTGTATAACATGGTAAGAAAAAATTGTAAATATGTAAAAGTGGGTTCGTCCTGGTTTTAAATTCTTTGATGATTTATTAAAAGTTTAATTGGGTAAACCGTTATGAAGATTAGAGCAAAACTCAGAAGATTGATCTTTAAAAATTTATACCCTTTTAAGGAAGGGTAAATATTTCTTCCATGGATGGGAAGTTATACATACACATAAAAACCTGCAATCAAATAAGTTGATGAAGGTATTAGATGTGTGATTGCGTCAGGGTATTAAACTTTAATTTTCTCCGCCCTAGTTACAACACACTTTATCGAGATATGCAAGAAATCTCAGTTTTGTTTCTTCTCTTATTATTAAACGCCGTGAAAGATGTATTGAATCATGTATTTGACATGATTTAGAGTAATTTGATTATCTTTAAGGTTTCAGATATATAATTTTATGTTGATTAAAAAATTACTATAATTATTAGTTAAACTACTCTGATTCAAATACTCAAAACCATTAGAAAATCTTCTCAGATTCATTACCCAAGATATCTCTAATACATTTAAGTCACAAATTCGATAACCTTGAAGTTTTAAGATGGGGTGAGAGCTGAGAAACCAGTTTGGATGTCTTATTGAAACAAGAGTGCAACAAGAATCATATTGGCCTATTGGGTGACTAATTTCATTATACCGGGATGGAAATCTCTTATAAATTATGAATACAATAGTCGTGGGAGGATTTGGTTTTTTGAAATGTTGATGTGGTTGTTACACTTCTTCATAAAAGTGCGCAAATCCTCACGTGTGCATTTCAAGTGCCAGCAATGGAACATTTCATATTGTGAGTACACATCCGGACAAAGCCTGACTAAAACTTTTTAAAATAATCAAGGACGATAACTTACCTGGATCTGGTATATTTGAGGCATGAAGAGGCGGAAACGAAGAAATGCAAAATATCTTGGTCTCAAGATCGATATGTAGATGAGGGAGAGTTCGAGAAATTACTGTTGGGTCTGAAACCCAAATCCATTTAGAATCCTCACCTAGAGTAAAACAGACCTAAAGGTCGAATTTGATCCAGAGAGACAATAGAAGTTTGACGTTGGGCTCAAGCTGAACAAAACATACACTACAAGAAAACATGCACATAACATTGACATTTTACACCGATTATTTGTTGTAGTAGTATAATGTCGTCACGACGAAATACATTTGTCGTAATCTAACCATAATTTGCCAACGTTTATATTTTATCGTAGACTCGGTGTAAGGTTATGACTAGTTAACGAGACTAGTAAGTCTCATCGTAACTTCGTTGGTAAATTACAAGGAAGTTACAACTCCTTATGGTACATCCTACTAAAAGTGAAACAACGAATAAATTATACGGAATGTGAAAACGTGCTTGTTATGTGTGTGATTGGTTGTTTAAAGAAAACACATATAATTGCCAATTAGACATATATGCGCTTAATTTTGTATATATTAAACAATTTATAAGTTGATCATATGTTTAATGAAGTGTTTGTTGCTATTTAGTTATTTATTTAGTTTTAAGATTTAGAGAACTTCTACGAAAGGTTTCTAACATGTAATGCATTAGAAGACTTCCTATGAAATGGCTGCAACAAACGTCTAACCTATGTAGACTTCTTGTGATAGTGAAAAGACTTCATGTAACAATAAATAAGAAGTCTATGAAAATTCAAATTTTGACAAACTTCAGTCAATTGCAAATCTAACATGTTTATCGGAGAAAACTTCCAGTTTTTTTTGGTTAACAAAGAAAATTTATAATACTTCTAGGAAATTCATCTATAATAACACACACAGAAAGTCATTTACAAAACTTATTCATTGACCAAAAGACTTATAAAGAAATCTGCTTGGCGAAACAAATCTTAAGAAAATTCAAAGACTATTCTTAGATCATGTGATAGGTTCATGTTAGCTTTTCCAAGCACACATAACTTCTTAATAAAAGTTACCACTCTTTCTCGACCAAAAATTGTGAATTTGAGTATTTCTAATAAGCTTATAAATTTTGAAATTTAAAAGTTGGGATTTTTGGATGAAATAAGAGAGGAAGTGAAAGGGAAATAGTTTATGTGTGTAAGAAATAAGAATATGAAGATGAAGATATTGATTTTAATTAAATGCATTTAGTGCTTGGAATTGGTTTTTCATGGTGGTTGCATATTGATGACAATTGAAATGTTGTAAATAAAAGAAGAAGATGAGGATGAATGAGTAAAATAATAATTTGCAGAAAAAAATGTAAAAATATAATGGTGTTTTCTTGAATAACTAGAACTTTTAGAATGAATAGGGCAAATGAAAGTTCCAAAAAAGCATGAGTTTTTTTTAGGTTAATTGAAGTTTTGAGTCATATTTGAAAAACTCTCTGTAGAATGGTGTTGTCAATCTTCTAAGCCTCTAAATCAAATAGAAGGTTAGAATAGGATGAGTTAAGGACTCTTCGTCAAAAGAAGGTTTTACTAAAGCCAGTAATATGAACATGAGGATCACATGAGTTGGGATAATGAGTCATCACCTTCAGCTGGATATTATGGGTTTTGTGGTCATCGTCTTTATCGACGAACCTCGTAACAGAAATGAAGTGAGAGCTCGAGAGGAGAGAATGAGAGCTCAAAAGGAGAGAGGGAGCTCGAGATGACATGAGAGAGAGATTGGGTTGGTGAGAGTGAGACTGAGATAGAGAGATGTGATTCTTGGTTTATTTTGACTAGTAATCTTGTTCTTTTTCCTCAATCTTGTAACTCGGGTTAGAGATGTAATCGAGTAGAGGAAGAAGACGAGTGAAATCTCCGTGATGTACATTGTAATCACATTGTTTAAAGTGTACAATTGAGGGACTGTTTCTCTCCCGATAAGTATAGCTCCTCCTTCATATTGTGGAAGGGAGGTGAACACCGGTTACCAAAATCTCATGTGTTATTCCTTTTATGATTGATTTCTTCTTGATTAGATTTATTTAGGCTCTAGATGAGATTGATTTGAGCCAAAAATACAGGATAAATCCTCAACACCCTCTTCCTTTTCTCCTCTAAGACCATCTCCAATGTTTATTTCTATTTTTCACTCCAAAAATAGAGTACTCTAAAAATAGAAGAAATTTTGCTCTAATGGTTATCTCTATTTTTTATTTTTAAAATGAATATATTTTCTATATTCTTTCTCTACTTATTTAATATTTTATTATTATCTATAACTTTTAGAATGTTGAAATTTCACCCTCAAATTTTATCTTGTAATAATAACACAACAGAAATATAACACTAATTATCTAAAGAATTGAAGTATCCACTTCAGAAACTTGTCTTCAACACTTTGATGTTGTAAGAAAAACAATGAATTATCTAAAGAACTGAATGTCAACTTTGGAACCACTTCAGAAAACAATGAGTTAAAGATGGTTTTAATCATGCTAAAAGAGATACAATTCTATGCAGTCTTCGATATACATCTTCAGAGTTTGAAAATTCTACTCTGATCATGTTATACAAGCATTTCCAGGTTTTTCATCATTTTCTATAAATTAATAAAAATATGACATTAGTGGCGGATCTCCATCTCAACGACTACAAACCTGAGAATGGTGAGTCAAAAAACTCCTTCTTCATCTTCATTTTGAAATTTGTTTTCATAATTTTAGTGGATTTGGAAATAATCAACCAGAGTAGTAAATCATAATGATGTGCTATGATAAGTTTATATGTTTGTTATTATTTATGTATTTTTAATTTATTAATTATCATTTTCTGATTTTTTTAATCTAATATAAGTTATTATTGCATCTAAAGTTTAATTCAAATTAATAACTAATTTTATAAATTTTAAATGTACAAAAAGATATCACATCTAATTTTATTTATGTAAAATTTAAAATTAATTTTTAAAAAATGAAAGATCATTTTGTAAATAAAAAGTGTAATTCCAAAAATAATGTATAAGAATAATGTTGCTCTATATCTGGAATAACACTATTCATCCTTCTATGTTTAATGTAAGATTTGGTGTATCATTGAATTGACTTTTACAGTTTTACTCTCCATTTAGGGTATGACTGTATGTATAGAATAAATACAGTCTAATTGCTGACCATTCAATATGCAGATAAAACTGTATTTTTGTCTATTCACGTTAAGCAATGCTGAACCAAAGAGATGAAAAAATAAAAGATGTCAAGCATACAGATGTAGTAATTTAAAATGATGTCCTACATGTATTAGAGAAAAAAGTCCGGGCTCGAGGTAGATGCCCAATGAATAGCTTGGTTTTTGAGGCTTTTTAAAAAACATGGTTACTTACAAATACTTTCATTATTTCTATTCATTTATTTTCAAACTAAGATTCTTCTACCGAACAAAGGCTTCAATTGGTGACCACAATTTATGAAAAAAATCATGATGAAATTGTTTTCCTCAAACTAGGTACCTGTTAAGTTGAATTTTCTGTCAAATTGTTAACACATGGGTCCCACTATATTCATATGTTTTCCTCAGATACGTGGGAACTCTTGAACAAATATTTCCTCCTCCAATATTGATGAGGAATAAGTGGAAAACAATAATTAAAGTTTTGAAAATTAAAAAATAAAGTAAAAAAATTAAGATAATTCAAAAAATGGCGCAAGAAACTGCTAAATTATCAACTCATCGTCATCCAAAATCAATTTAACCTCACCATGCACCCAAAATAAGAAAATAATAAAGTTTAAACTTATCTTCTTTAATCTCATGATTATTCCACTAACTCTATAAATACTTAAGTATTCTTGCTACGTAGAAAATCTCAATTACGAAAGCAGAAGTAGAGTTTGAGCAACATCAAAGGTATATTATAGAGCTATAAAGTAGATTATGATTAAACTGTTATAATTTTCTTTTTGATTTGAATGTTTGCTTACTATACTTTTAGGATCATGACAAGTTCTCGAGGAAATAATGGATCACGCTTAAGACGATGATGTCGAAGCGGATGGTGAAAGCGATCATGAAGGATCAGTAAGTTAATTCAAGTACTTTTTAAACAAGTCAATACGATGAAAACAAAATTTTGATTCTTAAGAACATGTATTTTAGTATGTTTTGAAGGATAGGAATTGTCAAATTCTGCTTGAACTCATTATTGGGGAGTTAAAAGCAAATGGTTATTCTAGTAGAATGCCTAATGTTTCTGGTAAAAAAAGAGTTGAAAACAAATTGTTTGAGTTGACTGGAGACAAGAACGTCTTTTGGGATCCTGAGATAAAGAACAAGATGGCTTATGATGAGATACCATTTGAGCAAGAAGTGAACGTGGCTATTGGTTTCAATATTGCTTTTTATTTAGTGGGATTATGTTTCCTTAAGTTGAGGACGTGTGGCTTCTTATCCACGTTTCATGTTTCACGTAGTACTAGTTAGTTGATTCTTTTGTTTTGTATTTAAGCATGAGTTGAGAGTTAAATGAGAAGAGGAAAAGAANTTTTTCTAAAAAAAAAAAAAAAAAAAAGAAAAAGAAAAAGAAAAGAGAGTTATTGATATTAGATATGGGAATCAACGGAGAGCTCATCGAAGATATAAAGACCAGACTTCTCCGACAGATGCACGATGAGTTCCACAAGATGAAGGTTTGTATGAATGAAAGTTTTCAGAATCTTGAGGCTACCATGAATCATATGGTGGAGATAGTAAGAGAGATGAAAGCTGGTGATGGAAGAGTCAATGATGGTACTGCATCTCAACCAGCTACTCAGATCATGAAGGTTGCTACGAATCTTCAGGTTCCGGAAGAACCCATGGAGCTATACATCAAGATCGATGGAGCTACACCAATCTTCGATGTCTATGACGACGAAGAGCCAAAATATGATATGTATGATGATGTGGTTACGATCTCCCATGGTGATGGAAACGTGGTGGTTCTAGGCTGTGAGTATTTTCAAAAAAATATTCAAGTCACTGATTCAAAGACCACAACAGACAACTGTTCATTTAGTCTTGTTATGGATAACTCAAGCTTTGCTCCTTCACCAAGAAACAACGAGTTAGCCAAAGAATTCACTGATCTGTCCCATGTTGAAGCCCTAATCACACAGTTCTGGATCAGAAGTGTTGCACACAAAACATTTGGGCTTTCCATTTCTGTTCCGACGCATTCAATCCACAGCCATGAACTACTGACCGCAACACCAAAGAAGCTCAACGAAAATAATCCAGTCCCTGGTAAACCACCACCATTACGTGATAAAAAAAAAAAGAAGGGTTCACAGCCTCGTGTATTCAGCAGGCATTGAAGGTTCACACAAGCTTTCCATGTCTATGTCCAACCTTGAGGACAAGGTTGTTTGGAGGATGGGAGTATTGATGAGATACCATTTGAGCAAGAAGTGAACGTGGCTATTGGTTTCAATATTGCTTTTTATTTAGTGGGATTATGTTTCCTTAAGTTGAGGACGTGTGGCTTCTTATCCACGTTTCATGTTTCACGTAGTACTAGTTAGTTGATTCTTTTGTTTTGTATTTAAGCATGAGTTGAGAGTTAAATGAGAAGAGGAAAAGAANTGATGAGATACCATTTGAGCAAGAAGTGAACGTGGCTATTGGTTTCAATATTGCTTTTTATTTAGTGGGATTATGTTTCCTTAAGTTGAGGACGTGTGGCTTCTTATCCACGTTTCATGTTTCACGTAGTACTAGTTAGTTGATTCTTTTGTTTTGTATTTAAGCATGAGTTGAGAGTTAAATGAGAAGAGGAAAAGAAAATTGTGGTAACTTGTTCCTTAAGTCTTTGGGACCTAGCAGCTTACCTGCGTAAACTTTGGCAAACAAATAATCAGTTGATGAACCGTACTGGTGTTGCGGTTGATCCGTCTAGTGGACAGATAGTGATGCCTTCGTCTTGGTGGACATATCGGATTGTGGTGATTACTTTTTGCTTTATCATATAAAGAAATATTTATATCAAAAACAAAATTTATACTAATGTTTTGTTTAATATACAGGAGTATGGAAAATCTGGAAAGTTCGTTAGTGTTTTGAAAAAGAAGCCGTTGCCATTCAAAGATTTATTGGATCAAATATATGGTGAACATGATGTTGAGCAAAATGAACGTTATTCTCCTTTTACATATTCGGCACACCTGAAAGAGACACAATCCCAAACACAAGAACGCAATCGAGAAGGTACACAACCAGTTTTAGATGTGAGCAACTTGTTTGCATCTAATGATGAAGTACCCAAACAAGCAAAACGGAGAACATGTAGCAGCCGTCCTCCAAGAAGAAAAGCTAACTTTGAAGCGCAAGTCGAGAGTGGATTTCGACGTGTGATAGATAGCCGTAAAGATTTGTTAGAAGAATTACGCTCACGCAAAATTCAAAAACTATCATATGGTGATGCAACAGCTATCATGTAAAAGTTGCCGATTGAACAACTTGGAACATTCTGGTGGGCAGCAAACAAGTTACTGAAGAATGATGGTACATTCGTGAAGCTTTTATCAAGTTTGAAAGTGAAGAAATCAAGATTAAATATCTGGAGACGTTGACTGGAGTAGACAGATTTGGAAATCAATGCAACAACGTGGATTTGGCACTCACAAGTAACACCAGGGGCGGATCCATGTTGACGAGTACGGGGTCACGTGACCCCGACTAGTTTTATAACATTTGCCTTAGTAGTGTAACAGTTTGGTCAAATAGCTTGGTGGTTTCAGAGTGTCCACAGTCTCTTACATGTGTGAAGGGTTCAATACCTCACAACTGAAGCTTTTAAATGTAACATTTTTTTGGTGCCATATGCATATTATTTTCTGCGCGTCTCTTACAAGAACATCATTTCCACGTAATCGATTTCTTTGTGCATTTATTTTGTTTGCAGAATTGTCATTTTGTTTTTTTTTTCTTTGAAACTAGTTCATACTTTTATTAATTTTTATACTAGAATCTGTAGAATTTTTTTCTAAAATAACGAAGTAATTTCTCGTGAACAAAAAATGACAAACAAAAGATATAATATAGTACTTAAAATTAATATGTAGTTATTCTTTAGCTAATATACAATATTATATATAAAACAAATATTTAAATTATGAAATATGTATATGATATTGTGCCCCCAACTAAATGAATTTCTAGATCCGCCACTGAGTAACACTATGGAAAATAGTCAAGAAATAGGTTTTGGTTACTCCCAAAATTTTGATGACAGTCCAACAAGATTTACAGCTAGAGGGACAAATTTTACGACTTTGCTTGGCATGGACCCTTCTAAATTAGGGGAACCATGATTAGGCAGAAATTAAAGTATTAGATTTCTATATTGGTTTTTAGCTTTTTTGATCTTTTGGTGTTCAAGTTTATTTTGGTGGCATTCTTCCTCGTCTTATATACTTGCTTTTATATCTTTAAAGACTTATTATCAATTTGTGGTGTCAGATTAAAACCTTATAAATCTAAGTTTTATTTTTATACTTGCTTTATGGGATGATGTCATCTGGGTGAGAGTACGTGAGAAGCTATGATTGTTATTTGAATGTCTTGGATTTTATGTTGACACTTTTTACAAAACATGATCAAAACTTTACTGAATGAAATGAACGAAAAAAAAGTTTAGCAAAATTTCATTTACTGAACTGAATTGAAAAAAAAATGTCATTACTGAATTTCATGTAAAAACTAATGTTTATATTTAGTGTTTTCTCACTTTCACATAATAATTTTAGAACGAATTTTTATAAAATAATAAAGTGATATATTTATCTAATGTTAAATTTGTCTTTATTTACATTTTGGTTGTCTTTACGTGTTTGGAAGTTATTTTACATCTAAGATTGGGTAAAAAATCCAAACTCGGAAAACAAAACCAAATCTAATATGAAAAGAGCCATACTAAATATAAACTGAAAATTGGTTAAATATCCAAACATATTCAAATTTTTGGTACGATCAGAACCGAAACCAATCTAAACTGAAATATTATGGATATATAAATATATCTGAACCAGATTATACTTGAATATGTTAGCTATTTTAAATTTAATACCTAAATATATCCAAAATGTATAAGTATTTTGAATTTGTCAAAAATAGTTTAATATATATATATAGAAAAATAGTCAAAAGTAAATATCTAAAATAGCTAAAAATAATGAAAGCACCAAAATACTAAAATATTTACTTGATTTTCCATCTAAATACTCTAGCCAAACTAATTGTATGTTAAATTTTTGTATTTTAGAATACATTATTCAAATTTATATGTTATATATTATTTTTATCTTTAGATTTTGAGAATTTTAAAGTATATATGAATTTAAAAAATTAAAAGTATTTAAACGAGTTATCCAAACCCGAACCGAATGCAAAGATCCGGAACGAAACCGAACCGAAATTTCTAAATATCCGAATGAGGCTAAATATTTTTGCCTCGAAAATTTAAAACCCGAATAGAATTGAACCGAACACCACTGGATACTCGAACAACCATCCTTAATACATCCAGTAAAAAAAACTAAAATATTTATAAAATATTAGGATTATTAGTTCTATGATTGAGCGCAATAATATAAAAGAAGCTAAAATTGGATAAAAATAATATAAATACACCAGAGTAATTAATGTAAGTACTTTATGGACAAACTAAAATACCTATATTATTTTTTATCTTTTATTTTATTCTATATTGTGTTTGTATTGAATTTTTGTTGTTTACATATAAGAATTTGTATGTTGTTTAAGATACTTAACTGACATATTTATTTTTAGTATTGAGTCAAATTAATTTGATCTGCTTTGTTTACTTGATATGTTTAGTTTACTTAATCTGTATTTGTTTTATTTAATCTATATTTTTCTATCTGCGTCACTATTTCAAAACCTTAGTGTTCAGAGAGGAAAGTAGAATACCATTGCTGATGCTCTATTTTTACCCTATAAATAATGAGTTCAGTACTAAGAAAATTGGTTTTTTGGGCATCGAACTCATACAAGAAAAATCTAACAAACTTTTCGAAGAGGCCCAAACTTTTTAGAAGTTAGGACTGAAACTAATTCTAACAGTCTGAGATAAACCTCAGCCTTTTGTGCCCCAATTTATTTATTAATCAAGATCTATCCCATCTGGAGGCTTTTCTTGGGGTGGCTAAAGTTGCCAACAACAAAATAAACTATTTGTCGGGGTTATTTTCACACAAATAGTTATTTAATATCACTTAGAAAATGTAACTAAAAAAAACTAATGACATGTAAGAAAATGTTAAACTTACGTTTTTCTTTGTTAAATTTAAGTTGCTTTCTTAACGAAAACAACGGAAGCGAAAATCCTCTTGTTCCAGTGTTTTACTAAGAGTTTATTAATGGTTATACATCAAGAAATTTGAGTTTCGAATCCTAAAGAATATGGAATTATGTATATTAATAGAGAAAAAACTTACAAAAAATTTATATCATACCATAAGGAGTACCGTCAAATATGAGTCTCATAAAACAGTTTAGATGATGCAGTCAAACATAAATTCTCATAAGGTAGATAAAACTATTGACTATATAATTTTCTGTAATATTTCCCATAGTCTATAATAACATTATCCAACGTTAAAAAAAGATCTACTCCTTGATATTCTTATGCAATCATGAACCAGTTTATCAATGAAAGACAATCTGATCATGGACCAGCCAACTGATGAAGATGCCTTAGCCATTCCAAAAGGTTCCATGACTCGTTCCATGTCCAAAAAACTCAAAGAAGCTATTGGTGGTTTTCTTAATGACAGTAAAGTAAGAAGAACGTCTTGGCGAGGCTTGATCAACCAAGACACACTCATCACCATTTAAGCTACTTCATCTTCAAGCTGAACATATCATCTAGATAAGTAACTTATGTGTGTTTTTTTTCCTATCTTTGGTTTTGTCCTAATGGATTATCCAGAAATATATTTTTAACGAAGTCACAAGTTGCTTACCATATCCCTTAGATGATTGATCCAGTCCAACCACATTTTTTATCTTATGTTATTTTTATTCCTAAGTTTTTAAGTCAAATATTTTCTTTTAAGTTGGTCTTTGTTATTTGAGAGGAGCCTTTGTTTTTACATTTTTCGTGTATTTGTGAGAAGCTGTGTATGTACAACATTTTCTCCTATATATTGTGGTCGAAATTCCTTAATAAATTCATTCAATATTTTCATCAAAAACTTGTTTTCTTCTTCTTATAATTTATGTCGAATTTGTTAAGTTCTGGTGTGTAATATCTAGAGTTTAATGATGTTTATTTGGTGTCATATCCAAATAGATTACGTGTATCAATAGATCAACCATCATTCACGTCACTATTCAATCCACAAACCTTGATAAATTTGACTCTTTGATTTGTTTATGCAAGGACAACTTTTCTCATGCTCTTATATCTCATTCTTTAATTCACTACAAGAAAATTAAGCCTTTACTAGGAAAATATTTCCTCGTAAAAATACTACGAGTTTACTTCGAGTTTACCAGGAAACCACTTTTCCTCGTAAAGTTCTCGTAAACTTACGAGAAAACAGTTTCCTCGTAAACTCGAAGTATACTTATGAGGCCCTTACGAGGAAAAAGTTATTTTCCTCGTAAACTCATAGTAATGCTTTTCCTCGTAAAGTCCTAGTAATTGTTTACTACGAAATTAGGAGGAAAATATTTTTTACTACGAAATTAAGAGGAAATGGACAGAAAATATCGAATTTAAATCAAAAATGTGTTTTGTACCTACTTTTCCTAGCAATTTCCTAGTAAATTCTCAGATTCGAAAATTTCTATAAATACCACCATATGTGATTCATTTGAAACACACCAAAAAAATCAGCTATAAGCTTGATCAAACAAAAAAAAAATGTCCGGTCCGGGAAGTATTTTCGAGTTGCGGAAGTGGATGTATTCACACAGAGATAATAACGGGAGGGTGACGAAAAAATTTCTCAAAGGGTTGGAGACGTTTATGCATCAAGCAGATTCTACACCACTCACACAGGAAAGTGGTAAGATGTTCTGTCCTTGTTGGAAATGTTGCAATACCAAATTAGGCCCTCGTGAAAATGTTTGGAAGCATTTAGTAAATAGAGGTTTCATGCCATATTATTATATTTGGTATCAACATGGAGAAGATGCTAGTTGTAGGAATGAAGGTAGCAGTAGTAATAGCAATTTTCAGATTGAACCAGTTGAGCATTTGCATAATGAAGGTAGCAGTAGTAATAGCTATCATCACCAAGAGGAACAAATGGTAGATTGTGATAGGTTTCATGATATGGTAGGTGATGCCTTTGTAACTCATGATGATGATGAAGTTGAAGAACCTAACTTAGATGCCAAAAAGTTTTATGAAATGTTAGATGCTGCGAATGAGCCAATTTACAGTGGTTGTAGAGAAGGTCTGTCTAAA